GAGAATCCTCAGGCATGTGGGAAGTTATGTGTTTGTCATTTTGCTAGTTAATTAGTTTGAAATGGTCTGTACGCAACAGCAACACAAGCCGCTCTCTGACAGTTTACGTCTGTATAAAACTTAATTGCATCAGCAAATTATTTTGAGGAAAACCAATTACTTTTTTAATGAATCTAATAACAAAATTCCTTTAACTAACATTTTCATAAAGCCACACATATGCATCAGTAATATATTCATTGACAATATCTCTTTTTACATTTGTAGCAACTTAAGAAAAACAGAATATATTTGAAATCTTTTGTCATCTTTCGGCTTGGTTAAGCTGTGAGAAAGATGTTTATATTGGCCCAAGGCATGTCTTATTTATTTGATATTTAAGATTACATTTATTTTCTTAAACATGAAGTGTTTTTGTCTCGCAAATCTAACCACTGAGGGAACACCCAGGTTTCCTTGTTTGGTGAGAATTGTGCAACTTGTGCACACCTGACATCCACTCCTTATCACCCCCTGCTGACAACATAAACCATGCCAATGCATTCATTCACATAACAAGGTTAACCAGCCAGCAATTATGTTGCAACCAAATGTAATCATAAGTGAAAAAAAAGAAAACAAAAAGTAGGGAACAGGTTTGACCAACAATACCCACTTTGGCTAAGTAGTCAGAGAAAAGAGGTGAGAAAGAAGAGGAAAGACAGAGAGAGGCGGGAAATAAAAATAAACCATTTCCACACGGTTTCATTTACAAGTAACTGTTTTTTTTTTAATTAAAAAAGTTAAAAACTAGCAGAAATTCCTTGTCTCAATAAAAGGTAATTGAAATGTCATGTCTCAAAATACCGAAGGAAAGACCGAAAGGAAGGAAACTTTTGCACATGTTTACTTTATATGGGATTAAAAAGTGCATAAGTGCTTCAGAGGGTTAAACACACCAGTTCTTTCTGTCTTCTTTCTGATTTTTTATTTTTTTTTTGGCATCATTCTGTAACTGATCTCAAACCAGGAACATCCCCTGGACAGTCCAAAGCATTCGCTTGCAGCAATTTTACAAGATTGGGCTGGAAATTGTTTATATGTCTTAAGCAATACTTTGAATAGAGCAACATAGCGTTGCACTGCAGTATTGGTCCTTTGATTTTAGTTAAAGACTTTTTGTCTAACACTGGTTTTGTGCTACATGAGTGGACACAGATTTAACCGATACTTGCACCAAAGCAGAAACAAGCCAGTCAAGAGTCATGCAGGAAAACATAGGAAATTAATGATAAACTGAAGAGCATGCCGATTTCTGCAAGAGCTCCATATAGTTTGAGGTTTTGTTGATGGGAACTGTTTATTGACAGTGTTAACAGAGAACAATAGTCACATTTAACAACCAGTCTTTTTCCTATTTATATCAAAACAAACTCACAAAACAACTGAAAAATCTGCCCCAACATGATTTATAAATTTGGCCTTGTCACCCCCACCCACTAAAGTGTGACAGTAGAGGACATGATCATGAGTGGATGTGGAAAGACGCCTTGCTCTGCTTCACTCTGTCATGGCTGGTCATTCAGACTTATCAGAGCCATCTCTCTCTAAGGGTAAGAGTGGGGGGATTTACCACATGAACCATAACCCAATTATTCATTGGTGCAAATCCAGGAAATGGAGGGGCAGTTGGGTTTTTGTTTAGTTGTGTAGTTAGACACACTCAACTGAACACATTCTTCATACGATAAGAGTGAATGCTCCATGTGTGATGCTGTAATTAACGTCTTTTCCCAGCATAAAGATTTCCTTTCCTTGATCTTAGATCACAGACGTTCACGGGGAATTGGTTGCATCTGTGAAAAACACGAAGGTTTTTGTAATCAGATGCTTCGACTCCCTTTAATCAACTTTTAATCAATTTGACACCATCAGCAAATTCAAGACGGGGAATAATCCTGTCTATACTACGTTGTTTTCAGTACATTCAAAGAAATATTGCACCTCTATTCAATTTCTGGTAGCAAGCTGACACACGGTACTGTCGAACAAATGTTACTTTAAAAACAAATATTAGTATTTCTCTTTAATGGATGCATAAAAAATGTTAGTTGTGTTCTTCTAGTCCACATGAGTATAATATTGTAAATAATCCTTCTAAGAAAATAAAAGGATGGGGGGGAAAGGGTGAAAAGTTGTGGTGCTGGCAATGGTAAGAAAGCCTCCGTGGTATGATGTTTGGTGTGGGGGGGATAGTGTTACATGCCAGCAGCCTGCTGGCTTCTCCTCCTGCTGTACGCTGTGCGTATGGAGGAATGTGCCGTCTGAGAACCACAGGGAGGAAGAGAGTACTGACAGCAAGCAATAATCACAGTCAGCTTTTCTGTTTGTTTGTTTGTTTGCATGTATGTTACTGCATAAGAAGGCCAAGTCTTGGAGGCTTCAAAGCTGCTTCTAAAAAACATCTGTTCTATGAGTTTGGAACGCTAAAACAGCCTTGTCAGAGCACATGATGACTTACAATTGCGGCTTTAAATCAATATTTTCCTCCATCTCATACTGGATTGTTCCACTGGCAAGAGTTCAAGATGGACAAGCGCTCATTGAGAAGAGGGTGCTGGAGTGGATAGATGGGAGGCACCCATTGCATTCTTTCAATTCACCACAATCGGAAACAGATTTCCAGCAATTAGTCTGAACTAACTTGCAGGTTTATTGACTAAAAACATAGTGACAGTGCCTCTCAGACGACCAAATGAAAACGATAACTACTAATTATGTTTGACTGTCAGAATGAAGATCCTTTAAATGCCAAGTTATAATCTTAGTCACTTAGAACTTGAATTTGTTCACATTCTTTTCATTCTAATGGGAGTTTGCCATTTTTAATTGTGCTCTTTTGTGGCAGCAGTGACTTTGGTGTCTAAAAGAAATAAAATCCTTTCCAGATTTGAGTATAATTCATCTAATATTCTACAAACATGCAGAATGAAAAAAAATAAAAAGAGATTCTGCTGTGAAGCTAAAGCCTGTAAACTGTGAGCCCAGAATGACCATCCTTTGAATTGATTGCTAGCTGTGGGGCCTCTTGTATTAATCTCTTTCAGTGTGTAATAAGTGAATTAGTGGGATGTAGAAGATGATGTATGACAAAGGCTGGCATGTCTAAAACCTGCTGTAAATCCACATGCCACAGTCACTTAATAATGCAGTCAGAGACCTCCTGGCATCATTCTTCACTGTATCCATTGACAACCTGAAGCTCATAAATTTCTCTGGTGGTTTTTTAAGCTGACTGCTAAGTTATTATTGTTTCTAATATTTAGGTTAAATATACTGCAAACTAACAACTGATTTACCGAAGGATGGTTTAACATCCTACAAGCTACATAACTCACTGAGCTCGACAGATGGCGAAATTAAAACTGCTGTCCTTGATTTGCAGGATTGTGTTATATATCGTTAGCTTCATAGCATAAGTGCCTAAGTCATTTTTTTGTGTTTTGTGTTTCAGACGGACAGGATGATGCAGCAGTGGTAGGGGGGTAAAGTTAGGCAAAAATCTCAATTTGACCAAAAAATGACTTAGGCACTTATGCTATGAAGCTAACGATATGCAATAATTTAATGGAGCAAATGTTATTCTAAAGCTGTGAAATCTGTAGGTTTGTTCACATCACATTTAGCTGTGTGTTCAGTGGTTTGTTTTAAAGTTTAGTTTAATTCAGTGACTCCATATTATTATCATTACTTCAACTGGGTACTATATTCCTTAGCAGCCTTATTTGTAAATTAAACCTTCAATAGAGGCTAAAACAATATTTATTTTTATTTGATTTAAGATGGATGTATGACAGGATAAAAGATATTTCATCAGTAAACTGATAAAATGATTTATATTCACGAGCAGATATTTCAAATCCAAGTGAAGCGGCATTGTTTCTCTGTGTGTGCTATGTCCTTTAACTTTTCCCATACATCACAAGCCTTCAACCCCCCACCACAACAGCTGGCGTCTCAGCAAGTGCCATGACGTTACACTGCCACCCCAGCCTTTCAGTATACGTCAAGTATTGTGGTGTCAGGGGCCCCTAATGGCCTTCAAAGTAAAATGCAGACAGTAGAACGAAATACACATACAACATATGTCCTTCAGCACAAAGATAAATAAAACTTCATCCTACTGTGGGTGAGTATTACAACATGGAAAACAGTATAAACAAATAGGTATTTTGGTTCTTCAGAATTATATGTTTATATAGTATGAATTATAGGTTAAACATAGCTATAAGCTTAAATATAATATAAATTTGTCAATGTTATATTACAAAACAGCTGCATAATATGACAAAACAATTGTGTTTGTACCCTTATTTAATAATCCTGTGTGACTCACTGTTCTTTTGCACTTTTGCAGTGCTTTACAGTTTTTGCCAAAGCAGGATTGACACCATAACATCATACTGTTGTCTGCCCCAGTTTCCAGTTTAAAAACAAGAGGTCACTAAAAGTCAAAGCTTAAACCAAAACGAACAAATAAATTAAAGTATGGCCTTTAACCACAGACTTTATGTTATTTATATATTTAATAAATAAATAAAGTTTCTCATGGTGCTTATGTGGCTTTGTTTAAACACGGGCTCACACTTCATTTTCATTCATAATAGTAACTGAGCCAAATGTAATCCATTATGATCAGATATTTTGGGAGAGAATAAACACTCTTTAAGTGTAAGGAAAGATTTGGTAAAAGAAAACATAGTGCAGACTGTTGTTTCTAGATAAACCCATTACGTTTATCTCAGCCCCTGCTCTCCATTCGAATTGATTCATGTTACAGATTTCGGTGAAATAGACGATAAAATGCGCTGAACTGCTGAATTCGTCATTCTTTTTTTTCTTTCTTTTTCTTTTTTAAAGACGCCTGTGGTAGAAATTCTAAAATGACCTGTGATGAACTTGAACGCTGTTTTGATGTATGTTAAGACTCTGTAGGACCCAGCGGAAAACTCCTCCAACCGGAGGGAGACGGAGCAAGAGAGAGTGAGAAAGCTGAGTGGGGAGAAGACGTTCCCAGATTAGTCAGTGGCTTCATGGAGTTATGTGTCTCTGATCCGCCGCCATGGATTGCAATCCGCGATCACTCCTTTTCGTTTTACTTCTTTTGTTGTCCTGCGTTATCCCCGCGTTTCCCGTCTTCTATCCCCCCAATGAAGGTAAGGGAACTCAGGCTGCGGACATGTGTGTTTGTGTGTATGTGCGCGCTTGTGTTTATGTATGAATGGTGCGCTACGGCACGTATCGCGGTCAGAGCTGTGCGCTCGTCGAGGGCTTACTGTCTAAATTATAGTCTCAAAAATCAAAGGACTATCCAGAGCGAATCACGGTGACACCGGACATCACCGATAAAACTGGATCAGATCGCCAGCAGATAGTAATAATCAGAGAGTAAACTTGAATCCAAATCCGAACAAGCCAGACAAGGTAGCGCGATTTCCGATAATTTGGCTAAGATGACTTAATAGTTTTCAAATAGAGATGAATAAACTAAGTGATGTCGAGACAGCTCCCAAAGACGCTTGATTGTGGGACGAATGGACGTAAAGAAACTCCGATATTTGTGTTTATATGAGATGTGCGTGTCTGTCTGTTTTACCCAAGAATCCATTTGGGGTAGACGCCCCAGTTACTGGGTAACTGTGAGCTTAACTCAGTTTTAAGGCAATAAATAGAATATGAGAATATTCGCATAGTGCGTAAAAACGTGGCTGCTTTTTTAATGGGTTCGACTCGAATAAAGATTAAGTCTATCTTTGTGATCATGTAAATCTGCAGTTTCACGACTTTTTTAAAAGTTGCATTTAAAGCCGATTTCATGATAAATGAGCGACAAAGACGTTGCACTTTATCTCTCTTTAGGTCTTGGTCGCTTTCTAGGCGAATATAAGCTTGTGGCAGTATTTTGAAGCCGGGCAGAAAAAGGCTACGGTAGACACGTCCACTAGCAGCACAGTCATTTATTCAAACATATGAAACTAAACTACAAACAATAAAGAAAGGGAAAAAAAACTTTACACAACAGAGGGAGGTTTGGTTTGAACTTTGTAAATTATTGGTTTACATCCTGACATCTTTAAAACTTTAACATGTTCGGGTCAAAGTGTGTGTATGTGTGTGTGTTAAGCAGGGGCAGTAAATGCAAATGCACTCTGAGGATGAGCTCCAACCCTTAGCACTCCACAAGAGACAGAAAAAAATGTAATTGAGTTTATTTTTAATGTCCAGTTCTCTGTGGTTTATGTCACATCAAGTAAGGGATAATGTTTAAAGTTATTCTGGGTAAAAGTCCGAAAGAAAAAATGAAAAATGAGTCTGTAAATGTGAATAGAACCTATTAACACGATAGCCATCTAAATGGTGCTTTATGTGAATTATCAGCACACGCCGGCTCAAAGGTCTCAGTTTAGGATACCCAACAGTTTAAACCTTAATGGCGAGAAAGTAATGGAATCCGTCCGTATACTGTAGATGTTTCAGTTTACACCACAGTAATTGAATGTTCAGAGACAAACCCACCCCGTGTAAACTTCCAGATCAAGGCTGATGTTGTTGGAGAAGTTTGGAAAGTTTTGGACGTTAGTTTGTAGGTCACGCCAAAGGATCTGTTTTATAATCCAACGATTATCAAACTAAAAGTTTCACTTGTCACGCACTTAATAAATGAACTAATTCATCAGGCCAGTCACATTTCAGTGGATTTTCTTCTGACCCTATACGTTTTGTGATTTCTTTTAAGCTATCAAGCCTAAAATCAATGTTTTCTTAACGAAAAATGTTTGTGGAATGTAAACCATTCATTTGATGCAAAAAAAAAAAAAAAAAAAAAAGACTGTCCCCCTTTTTTACGCACAGCATTTGGTGTCTGGGAAATATATCTCCTTAGTTGTTAACGCAATGCAAGAGAGCATACGATTTAATTTATGGTGTTTGACACGAAGGCATGGGTCGGGAAAATGTGCAGTTCTGTGGTGAAGCAAAAAAAAAAAAAAAATAGAAAAGAGTCAAAGCCACCCAGGCCTAATGCAAATCCACATATAAGCATTTGATTGAAAAATAAGACTGGTGAAGTTTTAGTTTGGCTCACGATGGTAAAAAAAATAAGCAAATACACATTGACCCTAAAAAAAATACACACAATTCCACTGGTAGGAGTGTGTTAGTATTTTATTGTGCGTTTGGAGGAAAGGGAGAAAGTGAGACGATACAGAACGCGGAGTGAGTGGGGCGGGGGATAATTTAAGAGTTTAGGATAAACGTGTAATTTATACGAGTGAATATCAGAGAGAAAAGAAACGATGAGAAGACACACACACACACACACACAAACAGATAAACTAACTAAACAGTTTGCATGTTAGCTGGAACAGGGAAAGTGTCAATACAATGAAGAAATCAGGCAATTACGTTCGCCCTCCAGAGTCATAAATCAGCCAGAGAGTGTCAGTATCGAGCTGCCTCGTCTATACAGCACATTGTATAGAAATTCATATAGACTTGTACACCACAAATATGAAGACGACAAAGACGTTTTGAATCACTTAAGCGCTGTTTCTCCGGTTCGGGTTAAAAGTTAAACAGATGGAAACACACGTCTGTTTTGGTCAACTTTGACAGTCCTCACGATGAAAGAGAACTCATATCGATCATTAATTTCCACAAGTAACAAAGTAGAAAAACATAGTAATTTACTACAAACCTTAGAATGAGGTCCACACACATTTTTTTTCCGTGACACAAAAGAAAATCAGAGGTATAATCACAGAGTATATATGCACTTAAAGGGCTTTCTTGGATCTTTCTTAATCTTTATTTAGATCATAAACTTTTGCTTTAAAAATAAAGCAGACAATAAACACGCTGGAAAGCTGTACCGATTTTGAAAATACTGATTTTCATAAACATAATGTGACGAATTCGAAGACACTCTTTTTTCATGATCTTTTACGTTGAACTGTAGGTCACTGTTTACACGACCGAAACATAACGTCACTTTTACAGGCTTTATTTTTTATTTCACGCCAATAAGTTGAAGGTGATAAAATCTACCCTGGCGCAGAGATTATAAAACAGTCCACTTGACCGTGGGGGGCTGTTTGTACGTTTAAAACTCGATGGCCATAAAAACATCTTATGTGACTTCGCTGACGTCTTACTGTAGTTTATATAAGCTATCAGTAAATTAGGAAATGAATCAAGTGCGTTATAACAAGTAAAGGAAAAAAAAGCATCAGTAGAAAAGAAACCTCAAGTTTAAAAGGATGACGACAAACTTATGATGTTTTCCTCGCGCCTGTACTTCGTTGAATTTTCCGTCTCCGCACCGCACCTTAGCAAGCATTTTTATTTAATTTTACTGTGTGGTTTTCATTAGGTCTTAATGATCCCGTAAAACTTTAGGAAAAGTTTAAGGAAATACAGAGAAACGCCTCAGTAATAGATTTCAGCGGAGAGGATTCATTTTCACTTTGAGAAGCCTTTTAGGAGACTTTGTGCTGACATTAGCTATCCGATATCGTTTAAATTCCACATAATTAGAAGAAAAAAATATCTAAAGTTTCGAAAGTCATTAGTTTCTATGATGTGGTGCAGCATGTCCTTCTAGGTGGTGTAATGTTGGCTCGCTGCGGGACGTCCGGAGGCCTCTGGTATTTTTAGTCGGCGTTAGGGAGGCTTGGCCCGGAGAGCCCGGCTCAGCAGTCCCGCTGGGGCTGATGTGCGTCTCAGAGCGATGGTACTTTTCAGAGGGGATGGAAATGTGCGCAGACGCAAAATACCCCTCACTCCCGTCCCCATGTATTCTAAATGCCTATATTTATATGTGTATGCTGACCGAAGGGTGTCATCCTCATTTTAACGTTTCATCTTCAGAGTTAGGCGAAAAAAATCCGTATTTAGGGAGACTACATGTGTAGATATACAGTACGTGGTCATGGTGTGCAGGAGTGCTCTATGCCTTTATGTCTGTGTAAATTATATGAGAAAGAAAGAAAGAAAGAAAGAAAGAAAGAAAGAAAGAAAGAAAGAAAGAAAGAAAGAAAGAAAGAAAGAAAGAAAGAAAGAGAAATGGGAGCAGAGGGGCTGGGCAAGCAGCAGCAACATCAGACAGAGCGACTCTGCTCTTGAATAATTCATAATGGGAGGTGAACACTTCACCCTTTAACACAGACACAAGTCGCTTGCTTTGCCTGCACTGCGGCCTGCCAACCTTCAGATGCATGGAACCAGGCTGCAAAGCATCATCCACTCTGTCAAATAGCAGATATTGATAGATAAGGACATGTGTTCTATGCTATTCTATTATGGAGGAAGCTGATTCTTTGGTCATGCCCCTCTCCTTAGTCTCTGACTGACTGACTCTTCTTTCTCCCCTCTAACATCAGCTGTGAAATATGTGGCTGCAGTGGAGAACTGTTTCATGAGATTTTGTATTGTACAGTTATTATTTTCATCTGAGCTGTTACTCATGGTAACACTGGCATCAGAAAAAGTACCCTTTCTTGCTTTGTTTGCTACAGTGTTCAACACATAATATGCCAAGCGATATAGGTCACCAGCAAGTGAAAAAAGGATGTCTTCCATTCCTCGGGGCTAGGGTTATGAGTGTGGGCGTTTGATGGTGACCTTAGTTTGCTTTATATATTGATTCACCTGTTTCTACCTCTGTGATGTTTTGCTCCCTCCCAGACAGGCTGGCTGAGTTTGCTATTAATACTCGTAGTTCCCGTTTAGAGGCACTCCCTGTTGGGGCAGGGGCTATATGCTTGGCTGACGCTAGCTTGCTAACTGACTGTGTGTGTGTGTGTGTGAGAGAGAGAGAGAGATTGAGCGAGAGAGTAAAAAGACTGTCAGCAAATGTTGATGTGTGCACTTGTGTTTGCTTGAATGCGCGTGTGTGAGAAAAACTGCACGTTTTGGTCAGGTTCTACAAAAAATGAATGCATACAGTAGATGTGCGTGTCCATGTCCAACTACATCATGTGCTTGCAAACGCTTTCCTTTGGAGGATTTCATGTGTTGGCATCATTTGACTTCCTCTCAGTATATAGCGTTTTTTGTGTTTCAGAGTATCTCAGTTCTTCTTGCTTCTTAGTTGAGGATGCGTCCTTTGTGTTTGTTGTGCTTTGCATGTATTTGTGAGTGTACATGCATTTGTGCGCATGTGTGGGTACTGATTTCTTCAGCCAAGTGCAGCTGGAGGGGGCTTTTTACTCCTGCGATATGAGAGCTGTCTAATTTTCTGCTCTCAAATTCCCTCACTCGGCTCAATTTGAGTGTTGGGCTCGGCTCGTTGAGAAATGTAAATTGGAAGCAATGGCCCTGGATGCTGAGCTGCTATTATCTGACATGAACAGATAGCTTCATTAAACTCTAATATGAATGTGTCCACTGCCACTCAACTGGCTCAGCGGTTTAGCATGACTGCAGCTCAGGTGAACATCTATTGTGTTTTGAGTCCAGAATAATAAATCTAGGTGTTTGTGTCTGCCTTTCTATGCTTCATTTTAAGGTCCTTTTATGCCACATTGGCTGATGTTTACCTGATAAGTCTGAAACAAAGAATCACTTCCTTCTCCAACTTTTTCTGTAGTACAAAACAACAACCCATTCACAGAGAAGTGAGATCACTTCTTCTTGCAAATTTAGATCCCGGTGCTTGACAGGGGTAGATTGTGTTTGACTTAAAAGGCTTCCCTGTGAGCCAGTGGTCCATCATGACTTGATAAAAACTTGATATGTGGACATTCTTGCTTACTGAAGCCTTGCACAGGAGAATGAAGGAAGAATGCATTCTTCATATTCTCACAGTGAATAGAGTTACAGCTGCAGGGCCTCTACTGCACTGCTGCTTCACTTTGCTGTATGTGTCCACTTGCGTTGCTAAGTGTTTGCTACTTGTTTGAGTGTTCAGAGCTGTTGACTGCTTTGCTCTCAACGGGATAAGTAAAAAGAGGCTGAGTCAGTGTTGCTGGAACTGATGAAGTGTATTGCTCTTTTTTTCTTTATAATAAATGGTTGTCTGTCCTTTACTTTTTTACCAAATTCACATAATCCTAAGCTACATTTTCTATTGCACAGTAACATATTAAAAGTATAATGTGTCCCAATTTAGCCCACTGTAGGTTTATGTGCTTTTTTTCTCCACCATACCATTGCTTGTCAGAAACATTATATTTAAGCATCCTATTTTTCCTCAGTACTGTTTGAAAAACAGGACTAAAAGGGATTAACTGTAAATAATTTACGTCATGAACACCAGCAAAATCTTTTTGTGTATTTTATTCTAACTACATAAATTGTTGTTTGAGGTGAGAGCACTAAGCTTTATTAGTCTGAGCTTTGTGTCGCTAGACAGAATCTATTGCCAAATTGCTCGTGACAGTTTGGTTGCTGAAGTGGGGCATCCTTTGAGCATAAAGCTGCCTTCACATTCCTCACTCCATGTGTCATGACCCATGCTGACAGTTGTATTCAATGACAATTATTCACTCCACAGCCAAGTGTATACACTAAGAATAGAAAATGCTTCAGCTCCTTTTAAGATACTCTGTGTCAGAGTCAATTTGGCCATCACATCTACTATTCACAAGTGTACTTCTAATTATGTTCTGTGGAGGTAGGCAATAAAAGCGCTTTCACAAGTAATTTGTGACTTCAAAACTGCTGCACAACTGACATAGTTATTCGTTCGGTCCCTTAAATTCCATAATTTGAATCCTGTTTTGCTAAGCCAGAGCCTGCACTTGCATGATTTAACCACTGAAGCTCCTTGTCTTATTTGTCCTCAGTCATATTTCCTCTATTAGACATGGATCCCCTTCTGCTGCTTGATGTCTGTTTGAAAAGAACGAATTTCTGGCAGGAGACACACTTAAAACTGTTTTTTTCCATTCATTCTGGATTGGATTTATATTTTGATTTCAGTGTGGCCAATTGAATTTCGGACCACCTCTGAAACCGGTGATTGCATTTGAATTTAGATCCAATAGAGTTTTGCTTCACCTGGTTACACTCTATTTTCCATGGATATGTGTGTGGGTCGGTAGAATGGGGGTCAGATGGGTCAAAAGAAAAGTCTTTAAAAAAAGAAAGAAAAAAAAGGAAAAAAGACATCTGGTGGTTTTTGAAAAACTGACTGTACTTTAGTTCAGTACCTTTTCAGGATATTTTCATTGTTTGCCCAGTGAAGTTTTGATTTGATGCCTTACAAAGCAAGGATACAAAGCCTACTTTATTCACTTACCTTCAGAACAAGGATGTGTTGGAGAAGTGAGGACAATTTGACCAGTCTTAACTTTCTTCTCTCTTCCAAGAGCCCCTTAAGTGTTAACACTTAGTTTTAGAGTTAAATCGGTTTAGGGACGGGTAGGCTAAGGGTCTAGGGAATGGGTTATATCAATGAATGTCCTCACAAAGACATCAGTACAAGTGCTTGTGGTTGTGTGTGCGTGGGGGGCAGCTGAGTAAATAGAGTCATGATCAGTGCTTGAGGTTGGTGAATCCTCCTGTGGGATTAGATAAAGGCTAATTGGGGCTAACAAGGGCTAGACACTCATATGTTTTCTTTGTTTTTCCTCTCTCTCTTCCTCACCACAGTCAACCTGTTAGACTCAAAAGCAAGCCAAGGGGAGTTAGGATGGATTTCCTACCCATCACATGGGGTGAGTATCTTCCATCTCTATATTTACCCACATCATGCCTGAATATGTTTGCATTTAGGAGACAGATCCAATAACATGAATTGAATGTCAGCTTCAACCGTGAAATCAGCTTTTTCAGATTTTTGTCGTTCTCACTATGCCATGTTGAAACAATCATCCAATGACGATTAACCCACTTTTTTAGGCATTTTGTTCATTTTTTTATCTAGCAGGGTAAAGTATTCAGAGCTTACCATACAATCATACTGCCTGTATATGTGTTTGTGTTTTTGAATACATGTATGTATAAATAAAGATTAAACATGAAAAAGCATACATTTTGGACTTTTGGTCCAAAAACATCTGCAAAAGAATTCCAGATTTACTTCCAGCCTCCCATTAACAACTCAGATAGCGTTTAACAGGAAATTCCATCAAAAGCTGACTTGTTGCACAATGTGATATTGCCATGTTAGTATTGTTCCTACAGTATCTTAAATAATGGTGTTAAATGGCCATCACTGACTAGACACACTTTTCTCATGTCATACTTTTAATACCTTTTTCCAGAAATCATGGGTTTATATAATCATCATCAAATGGGTTTATATTAACCCAAATCATATTTTTGTTTTCTTAACATCAAGTAGTTTTGGTGATTAAACCAAACAAATTACATCTCAGTTATGCAGGCCTAAACACTGGTCAATGACCCCATGATAACTAGCGGTCACTTGGAAAAAATGTTCATTCCCTGACTGACTGGTGAATGGTTGTGAGATGTAGCTTTGTGTTGTTTTGTGAAATTGGTCATGAACAGTGATGCACTGAAAAGGTTCTTGTGATTGCTTTGATCGCTACCACATTGGCGCGGATGCCAGTAATTTCTTTGGAAGATGATGAGTTGTCTGCAAAAAATGCACCAATTGCTTACGGAGAGGTTATGGAATTGTGAACAGTGCAATCGGAAATGGAGATGGTGTTCTCTGTTTCCAGTTTGTGTTGCACTTTTTTATGTCTGTGGTTACTTAGTGAGTGTTTCAAGTTTCAAGTTTTGTTGCAAACGATGGGCAGTTGTGTCATACTGCTAGTCACTAAAGCAATCGCAAGGAAGTTTTTAGAGCACCCTTTTTGTGACCGATTTCAATCAGTCAGCAACTGCTTGCCATCCGATCGGGGAATATATATTTATCCCTAGTGACATGCAGGTTGACAAAGGGGTCATGTATCAACCTCTAGGCCTGTGTTGCTGAAGCCTACACAAGTATTGTGTAAAATTAACAGAATGTGACTGAAAACAAGCAAAAACATTAACTTCATCTAAAAATATTAACTCAATTTTGACTTTCATAAACACATGTGTTTTAATCTATTCATTTACCACAATGTCAACTCTATGTATTTTCTTCTATTGATAATACTTCTGCCCCACAGGGCTAATGGTGCTAGTGTTTTATGGCCTTATTCTCAGAATAACACAGCTAGGACATCACAGCAATCTGATAGGTCAGTTCAATCAGTCGCCATGGACCAACATTAATTTATAGTTGTATAAACAACACCCACCCACATGGCAATATCAAGTAAACCTTTGATTTGCTAATCCATAATATGCAACACTTCATTTTGTCTGTCTTTCATTATATTACAGAAACTACTGTAACCTTTTATCAAGCATTTTTCCAAGTTTGTTTTATCCATTAATGCAATTGAAATTAACAGGAGCACAAGGAGGAATTACATTAATATTGTTTTTAGTATTAGCATTATTTCATTGGATGTAAAAAAAAAAAAGGTCATATATCAGTCTCTGCTTCTAAAATCCTCCAATGGGCTCTCGTTCAGTGTTTATTTCTCCAACTAGTTAGACTTCTGTGCCTCTGAGCAAGCCCACTGTCTCTCTCTCACACACACACACACACACACTCATTCACACACGCACACACACACTTCCTTCTTTCTCCTTTATTAAGTGTTAGAATTACTCCTTGGCAGTGGCTTAAGGTAATCCAGTCATTTGTTCCATTGAGCTGCCAAACCTTGTTTCTCTCGGCCATATACAGAGCTGGCACCAACAGAGCACTCGGTTTTTTCATGAGGTTCAACCACAATGAAAAAATTACCCAAAGGAAAAACTTCAGGTCCTTAAAATGTATTTAGTCAAAAGACAATTGCAACCTACACAACAACTGCATGACCAGCTGACAGGCCAGATTGATGTTGTGTTGATAGACATTATTCACATGTAAGCAGCTAGGGAAATACTCATTGATACGGCTATTTGATCCAGCGCTGGACACCAGACTTTTTTGACAGAGGTTGGGCAATTTGTGCAACCATGTCTGTTTTACTTCAAGTTTTTTGCTTTGACCAAGTTCAGATGAAGAGCGTGTGGTTATATAATTCATAAAAATGCTGCAGGAATGTGAGTCAATGTCATTGTTAAATGAGAATAACTCCAGAGAGATAGAGAAGGGAATGGGGGGAGGATCAAAAAGAAGGAGACTGATAGAGGCAAAAGGGATGAAGAGAGAGGGGTGGGGAGAGGGAGACGGAAGCAGGGAGAGGAAAGGACAGGAAGGAATGAGGGAGAGAGAGTCACACACACAGAGATATTGCTGATGATCAAGTCCTCAAGGTGAATCATCTGTAATTACTCACGTCATCCACTGACTGCGCTCCGATAAGCAGAGTGCCCTGAGAGACTCCTGCTCACAAATGATTTCTCATAATGTGGCAGTGGCACTGAGCCCTCACTCCCTCCCTTTCTCACGCACACACACATACACAGACAAACACTCATTCACATTGATGGAGAGGCCGTGGCTATTGGCCTACCGAGACACAACGTGCTCCGGTCAGAACAAATTAAGAGCTTAGCCTCCCCAGGATGTTCACTCCAGAGCCACCGACTGGACTGATGAGTGCATGAGTGTGTGTGCGTGTGTGTCTGTGTGCGTGTGATCCAGATATACAGTTATCTGTCTTGGAAGCTGGCTGATTGCTTAGCAGTGTCCAGGGGGCTTAGCCCATCACTAAAGAGTGTTAAAGATTACATTCTTGCATGCTTTGAAAGCATTCTTCAGCAACAAACCAACACCCTAGACACTGGCTGTGCATACAAAATAGAATTAATGGATAATTACAAACTAAAGTCCATTCTTCATAAGAAGGGAGAATACAGTGTCCTTTCTGGTTGCACTTGGAACTTAGATTCATTGTTTTTCAAATAAATAAAGTCGCTGCAGCATTTAGACCCAAAGTGTTTACCACAAGTTATAGCTTAACTCTAGTTTGATTTTCTGATTAAATACCAAGTTTATGTCAGTTATTTGCTACATGCTAATCAGCAAAAATAAAAAACTTTAAAACTATTTATACAGTAAAAACATTGCCTTGTAATTGTTTTTACATGGGTTCAACAGTCTATATTATTGTGTCAGACTTTAGTAAAAGCGCAGTAACATTTGTATTGTTGATGATAAAGAAGCTTGACATCTGTAGAATAAAAAGCCAGTGCTCACAGTATGTGAACTTTGCTTATAGTGTCTGGACTCGCACAAAAATTGAACCAAAACACATTGACACCTCACATTCCAATTCTCAGGTCTGGAATGAGAGGGTGAGGTGACAGGCAAATAATAGCAGGGCTGATTATGCTTTGGGATCAGGCCCACCAGTCAGCCTACTCTTTCTCTTTCTCTATCTGTCTTCTTTCGTTTTGACAACTGCTGTTTCAGCTTCTTTAATCATCCAAGTGCTTAAAAGCCCCCACGAACTGTGTCTACTTCATGTGCAAAATCAGCCTGACCAGATAAACTGCTTTAAAGAGAGAAAGAGAGCATACCTATCCTTAAACAAGCATTAGTTTGATAATGCAAGAGACCAGAGGTAAGGAGGAAGGGGGAGGGTAAAATGATTTATTGTTACTTTCGTGTTCCTGAGATAAGTTGGCACAAATCCTGAGGAGTTTATTTTATTACATCCTATTAAAAGTTGTATGCATTATACAACTGTACTGATAAGCACAGTCAGATTTTGTACTAAACCTCCCTAAACTATGAAAATCTTAGACCTCAGTGTTACAAAGAGGGAAATTAGTAACAAGTAAACATATATTTTACCAGTGCAGTGAAGATCATGACATTTTTGAGGCAAGCGTGTCTTAAAAAATGAAAAAAGTAAAGAAAAAGAACATTAAGAACTTTGAGAATTACAGTACTCACATTTTTCTTTCTTGAGTACTGTTTAAATATAAATGAACAGCATTTGTGATTCCAGCATCCCCAAACAATTGCCATCAGCTAGTCTGTCCTTGAACAAAACACAAACAATGATTAGTCAGGCAAAGCTCAGGGTCGCACATAAACAAGAGATGGGATGAATACAAGGAGGGATCACATAAACATTCAGGTTTTCCTTTGGCCGGACAGAGTGATGAAATATCCTCTATTTGATATGTTGCAGTTGTTGAGCCTGTAACCCCAAAGACCTCTGTGCTCTAAGCTTCTCGTCCAGCATTTGTTGCAGACACTCCGGCTTTTAGGATCACCCTCTCCAGCTGTAGAGATTTAACAGAACGTTGTAATTATAATTGTTTTCTTTTTCCGTTCAGTAATCTGATATCCCAAAATCACAAATAGCCAATTTTGGCAGATGAGTAAATAAAGAGCTTATTTTAAAAGTAAAAACCAAAATGTGAACCATTCTGGTTTTGATTTTAACAGCAAGTAATTGTTTTTCTCCCGCAAATTAAGTTGAAATAATTATCAAAATCTTTAAATAAAAAAATATATTTTACATAACTTGATTAAACTGAATTATGCACTATGTTATAAATTATCTAAACTATAACATAATGAAACATTTGTTATGTTAAGCTCTTGTTGAGCAAGTTAGACTTGTGATAAGAACATGATTGAGCTTGTTTTCTTACACTTAACAAGACTTGCTTTTAATGTATTGCTGCCCTTTACAAGTCCATATACTGGCCCATTAATTACCATTGACCTGAGTGTCTTTGAAGTGGATAAACTGGTGTGCTGACTCTGTGTCTCAGAGATGTGCCTGTTGCTCTAGGTATGTCCAGAGCAGATCAAGTTACCACACTTCATTTTACTGTCCCTTTAGCTACTTCACCTACAGCACAGATCAGAGAAACCAGGGGCAAGATTACACTGAACTTTGTCCCAGCTGTGACCATCAGGGGTCAGGGTCAAAGGTCACGTGGACTGCTGTAGGGTCCTAGTGTTGTTATATATCAATTAGAGGGCAGGGGGATGGGAGGATGGGAGTTACACCCTCAACCCCTTGAAGAGAAACAAGGGAATAGCTGCTGACTAGATCTTTTTTTCATCCTGACTGACATTCAGCGTTTCTTGTGTAAGTGGAAGAGCTTTCATGTATTGCAATGAGTGAGTAATAGCAATATTAGTGGAAATGTTGGGTCTAGAAACTCATGGGTACTGTGGTACACCTTCACTGACCCACACATAATGTAACAATCAACTAAATACGGATAATGATGTTAACATATTCTCTATTTCTTCTTATTTCTTTTTTACTTCTGGTCTAAAGGACAGAGAGTTGCAACTTAGAAATAAAGTGAAGTGATTCAAGGTTAGACAAGTTAACTCCCATGATGTAATGTTTAGGGACAATGATGGGGAGACATTTATATCCCTCTCATTTACTTTGGCAGAAAGTTGCTGAAGCTGAGTCATATTCTCATATAGCGTACTTAATGCACACATGCGCAGGCACATACAGACATATACTGGATTTGATTTGAAAACCTTTCTGTGTTTGTGTTTGGCAAGCTTCTCCATAAGACAGCTTACAGACTGCCATCAGTCATAGTTGCTTTAGATTAAGCCCAGTTTGGAGCATACTGGACGAGTATAAAAAGGAACGACACAAAGCTAGTAGCTCACACTGAGATCTGCACTACTGAGAATAAACAGGATTCACACAAAGGCTGTCTCACTCCAAACTCATTACACAAAGAACTGATGGTTGAACAGGGCAGTCTGTTACCTCATTGTAAAGTACAGTAGATAGTACCCCTACCTGAAGGGGTACTCTATGAGCCTAACTTGAAGAAGAAGTACAATTTCTCACTGGACTTGTCACCTGTTAAAAAAAAAAAGGAAAATGGAGGAGAAGGCTGTTTGCAGAATGGTAGAAGTTCATAAACTGCTATATTTCATTCCTGTTAAGTTCAATTTTATTTATAATAATGCCAAACCACAACAACAGTCACCCCAAGGGACTTTATATTGTAGGGTAAAGACCCTCCATTAATAGAAAGGAAACCCCAACAATTAGATGACCCCCTATGAGCGAGAAGTTGACGACAATGGGAAGGCAAAACTCCCTTTTAACAGAAACCTCTGGCAGAACCAGACTCAGGGAGGCACTGCCATCTGCTGCGACCTGTTAGCGGCAATGGGAGGGAGGACAAAAGACCCACTGAGAAAGAAATCCAGAGATTAATAGTAACCAATCTGGTATATTAAGTGGTGATAAAGACATTGTGAGTGAAAATAGGTGAGTAAAGAACAAACACTAGGCCTATTGCAGCGTAACATAGAACATTCAGGGTCACCTGATACAGCCTTTATCCACAGTATCATCCTTTGTTAATCCTAAAAAATGTATAAAAAGTGAATAAACAGCAACTGAAAAAATGTTGATGTTTTACATGACAAAACTGTAGTTTTTCATCCAATTTTTGGAAAATAACTGTTCTTCCACTGTAATATTGAATGATATATGCTGTATTATGGGATTGATATGCTACAATTTACTCATATGCAGTATGGTTCTATCCTCAGCTTTAATCTTTTTTGTTGCCGTTCTTAGCACCTTCACTGGCACAAGTCACCCAATTTCATGTATTTTTAGACAGAACGCAAACATCTGTCACTTCCTTTTTAAGCAGGTCACCACAAAAAAAAGTTAAATTACTGGTTGAACTCTCCTGGCAGAAACACATTGCTTTAACCATGACAAAAAGCACACATCTATATAAAGGACAAGCATAATAGGATATATTATTATTCTCATGTTCACGGAAGTCTATTATCTTGTAAAATTTAATGTCAGCAAAATCATTAATCAAAGTGGCAGTCCTTGCCTTCACTTTCCTTTTTGTTATGTCAAAGTCTTTCAACATAGCTTTTTGCATGTCATCACATCATTTTTATGCTTCTGTTTAAAGTCGTGCTCTTACACCTTTGAGTAAAGCAAGGTGAAATGTTAAGTTTAGCTTTACCTCTCTATATTTAGTCCCACTCACTCCTGCAGACATTTCCCTGTTATTGTTAGACCTCCAAAGAGCTAGGACTACTGGCTGATGAATGACGTGATACCAAAGAGGGTGATGGGGGAGACTAAACACCAAAGAAGTATCGGCCCTCAGTTTTCATTTCACTTTATCTCTTGCTTTCTTCTTTTTCCTTTTTTTTTAGCGCTTTCCTTTATTTCCTCTTGTTTTCTCTCCCCTGTCCTCCTCATTCTCTCGCTCTCTCAGGGGTGTTTCATTAACTTTGCCGTGAGATGAAAAGTGAGTGGCTATCCCTCAGCCTGAGAGCCTCTTGAACATCAGACATTCATACATATGCTTTACACCCGCACACCCCCACACACAGGCAGACAAAAACATGTAACAGAGAACCAACTCCTTCTTAGCTCGTCATTAATTTCTGAGTTCAGCTGAAGGCACCTGCTGTGTTTGCCTGCTATGAGACTTTAAACACTTCACATGAGCTTTATGTGAGTGCGTGTGTGGGTTTATGTTACCATAAATGCTTGTGGGTGAAAGGAGCAATAATTTAGGTTCCAGTTACCACGAAATTCTTTCTCTGTATATCTCTCCGTCTCTGAAGAAAGTGCTGCTCATTTAGACACACATGCATTCTGGATTTCACCATGAGAAAATATACACAAAAGCATCCATTTACGCATTTACGCCCATTTGTTCTAATGACTGCCATTTCAGCCACTATGAGCCTGCTATTTCAGGTGTTTGTCCATTCATCATCACTCCGATTCAGCGTTGATTTGCCGGGACAGCAAAGCCAAAGCACATGATCAATGAGTCTACCCGCTGTGTTGAATTCAAAAGGAATGACCCCACTTTCTTTTTCTCCTCTCCTCTCTCTTTGCTTTCTCCCAGTGGAGGGAAAATGTAAGATAGACACAAACGTTCCTGGTATACACTCTCATCTGTCTATACGTCGTAGCTCCTTTTGTTTCATAGTGGATTCAGCACGTTTCCTTTAGTAGAAGTAGTACTGTGATGCAAATAACCAAGACTGCAGCTTGAAAGTCCTCACTTTTAGAGAAAAACATTTTAGTATAAGGGTGGAAAAAAGAAACACTATGAGATTTTGTTAATATTTAAAATTAATTAAGCTGCCTCACACAAATTTAAAAAAAATTGAAGATCACGTTTTCTAGCTTTTTTTTCTTGGCGATATTTTCAGAGCCTTCTAATGTAGAAAATTTGGCTAAGCCAGCAAGTTTGCTTTTAATTAATTTCAACAATTTACAAGAGATCTGGTAGTGTGATTTTTCACCCTTAAGTGTTTATTAGATGCTTAGTATTCAGCAAGAATGTTTCTGGATCTAAATAATTCATCCCTAAATGCTTACAGGGTGGAGATAACTTTATTTTTTCTCTGCTATCTTCCCCTCCTTTCCTCTTATTCCTCCTTCTTTGACTGCAAATTCTCACTTTCCTCATTTGTTCTGTCTTTAACTCATTCCATTCCCTTTACTCCCTTTGTTTCTCTTTTGACCCCAAACTTCCCAATCCCCTTGCTTTCCTTTTTTAAATCTAATATATTTTCACTTGATCCTTTTCATTACTCATAAAAAAATCTGTCTTTCCTGTATCTATGCTTCTTCTACTTTTCCTTCTGTTGCATCCATTCCTTGTTATCTATCGCTCTCAATCTTTAAATCTACCTTCTCCCCTTTTTTCTGTATTTGGTCTCTCTTGTCTATTATTCTTCCTTGTCTTCCTCTGTTTCTCCCTTCGACCTTTCCTTGTCTCTATTTTTTCCAGTGGGAGGAGATCAGTGGGGTGGATGAGCACTACACTCCCATCAGGACCTTTCAGGTCTGCAATGTGATGGACTACAGCCAGAACAACTGGCTTCGGACCAACTGGATCCCTCGCCAATCTGCTCAGAAGATCTATGTGGAGCTGAAGTTCACTCTGAGGGACTGCAACTCAATCCCGTTGGTACTGGGCACCTGCAAGGAGACATTCAACCTCCTCTACCTAGAGGCAGATGATGACCAGGGCAGCCACTTCCAAGAGCATCAGTTCTCCAAGATTGATACCATTGCTGCTGATGAGAGTTTTACTCAAACTGACCTTGGAGATCGCATTCTCAAGCTCAATACTGAGGTACGCGAGGTGGGTCCCATGACCAAGAAGGGTTTCTACCTCGCATTCCAGGACGTGGGCGCCTGTGTAGCTTTAGTGTCAGTAAGGGTTTACTTCAAGAAGTGCCCACACACTGTGAGGAATCTTGCCTCTTTCCCTGATACTGTGCCCATGGACTCCCAGTCACTGGTGGAAGTCAAAGGCTCATGCGTCAATCACTCCAAAGAGGAAGAGCCTCCTCGAATGTACTGTAGCACAGAAGGGGAGTGGCTTGTGCCTATTGGGAAGTGTCTGTGTAACCCAGGATATGAGGAGAGAAGCAGCACCTGCCAAAGTAAGAAACATATTTTTTTTGCAACTATTTCTTAACAGTGCTCTCACACATGCCTTGCCATGCATTGATTCTGCATGTATAAATGCATGTGTCACTTCTCTTCTACACATTTCCCTTATTTGAACCTTTGGCCTAAAAAAGCAGATTTTTTTTAAAGCTGTAAAAGTAAACAGTGTGATATCAGGACTCTCATGCTTCATATCTGTCAGTCCAGAAGGTTTAATGTCAAATACACTCTCTGTGTGCATGTGTGTATATGTTTGTGTGTGTATGCATTGTTTATGTGAGCTCTTCAAACTAACCCCAAATTCCCAAGGTGCTAGGTGATTGGTCGGTAGTTATACGTGCATATTCCCATACATGTGAGTAGAGTGTTGTCCAGGTCCAGGGTGCAGCATATAGAAGTTCAATAGTAATTTTCTCTGTGACACATCATTAGCTATGGGAAGATTTTAAGCAGAGCAGAAAGATGGGACTGATAATACAGAAGAAAGGAGTGGGCTGGAGTGGATGGTGAATGATGGGATAGCTGCGGTGATGGTTGTGGGTGTTGGTGAAGGTAGCAATGAGTAGTCATTTGATGTGCTTTCAAAAGTATGCAAATCTGCATGCCTAAAATTGCCTTTCATGTCCTGACCAACAGGACTGGTCTTCCGTACTATCGTCACACATGTTATGCAGGGGACTATTTTTTGTTGCTGCTGGATGGTTTTTAAAGTGAGCTTGTCAGAATGATTGCAGTGATACTTTGGCTGCTAGAGTTAAAGAGTTGTGCTTGGCCAGTGGGGTTCCACCTTGCTCTGCAACATATCTCTACATGAGAGTTTAAAGTATAGTAGACAACATGTAAAATGCCTCTGATTGTTGTTGTTCCTCCTCACATCATTTTGCCTTAACAACTTTGTCAAAAAAAGTAAAGTTATCCATTTTGGGATAAAAAGGGATTAGCATAAAAAAAATGAAAATAACAAAGTCTTCAATATCCATGGTGTAATGCATCATAAACTTCCCAAACATATATATTTGGATCTGGGTTTTAAATCTTGTAGACATGTACACAGATAGGACATCATTACACCACTTTACACAAAATTAAATTTCCTCTGTTTTGCTTCTGTGGCTGCTATAACAGCTTTCATCAATTACAGTTACAGTACTTCATCGGTGTTTCCATGCATTAAAAAAAAAGAAGAAGTAGAAAGTGGTCCCTGGTGTGAACAATACAATGCAGATGTGTTCAGTTCATATAAATGTAAATGCCACTATGGATATGATTACATTATATTACATTTATACATTTTTGTTTGATTATACAAAATATAAAATAGTGGCAAACAAGACCAAAGTTAGCTGAAGGTTTCCATGATGCTCTATATCTGCTCCTCTTTACTTATTTTCTGTGAGATCTTCTCTGCTTAAGAAGCCAGACACAGCATCCATCTGAAAGCAGCCACCCCTGCACTGCGGCTGTCCCAGAATGACTTTAAAGTTAAAACGGTGTTGAAGTTTCTGAAAAGGAAATCCGTCTTTAGCATTCTAGGTTATTATAGTGGGTCCCAAATGGTCCCTTGTTCATCAGTTCTCTCTTTTCCAGAGCCATGCCCAGTGTTAATTAAAGATCAAAGATGGTCTCCCAGGTCAAGCCCCTGCTGTCAGGGCCAGGGGGAAGTGTTTTTTTTTTTTTTCTGTTGCTGTGAACTCCAGGCCAACCTGTCTAACTGTACAGATAGGAGGGAAAACTTTTTCCACACTTGTCAGTATATTTTTCTGAATTTACTCATTAAAAGCCAATGGTATCTACTGCTGAACCCCTTTGTCCCCGGTGATTAACATCTTCAGAGTAATTAGAATTTCTCCCAAGTGTCACCTGTGATTTTCATTTTTGGATTGCATTTATTTTGGTTTTGTTTTTCCAAATTACACAGAAAAAGTGTAATTTTTCATTTATATCTTTCTTATTTTTCTGCTTTTTGTCCCTATATTTGAAAGAGTACGACATGTCATTTCAAGAATGGGACATTGTACAGACAAATGGCTCACCCCTGCCCCCCCCTGCTCCCCCCCTCTCACTTCCTGCCTCTGTGAATTGTGTGAATGTTTAGATGTATTTGACAATCTCTTATTAGTTTCAGAGTGGTCTAATGGACTCTAATAAGGTCTTATGTTACCATGGAGTGGGACAGCTGCACCAACAGGCCCCCACAATCCCTGCATGCAGCCGTTGGGGGCCCCATCATGCAGCTTGCTCTCCAGGCCTTCTGTGTTAACAGATAGATGGCTGAATGGGGTTAGGTCATCCCAAACTGATAGCAAAAAGAAAAAAAGACATATTTACAGTGCTACGAACAACAAGCCACAACATTTTCTGGGAAAAAGAAAATGAAGAAGTGGAGAATAAATAGCACTGTATATTGTAGAGAGATACTTCAGTGATATTAATTATAGACAAAGAAAACTCTTCTGTTGGTAAACTCTTCTGAGGCACCCCGGTGTCCTGAGAAATTTCTGTTGGTATTTGACAAAAATAAACAAATATGTTATTAAGATGCTTAAAAACACAGACAAACATTGAACTGATGAAACATTTATTTTTTCTGGCAGGAATAACAAGGTGGATTTAAAGACAAAAATGCTTGGACTAAGTATTGTTGACAGTGAAGATTAAGCACATTTACTGAATATTTTATGCTTTGTTTTCTTTGATAAGATGCCTTGTTGCAGCACCTCCTCTCCTCCTTCGCTACTTTGTGAGTCTGTCTGTCTGTTTTTGATCGAGTGAAGGGGGAAGAGAAAGAGTTCGCAAGCAGTTGCTTTTGTTTACACAGACTCCAAAGTGTGTTTAAGGGCTTTAATAAAGTCGACTCTAGCATTAAACCATCATTATCTTTCTGGACTGTGTATGTGTGTATGTGCGTGTTTGTGTCCATAGTCAGCAATGTTTGTCAAAGCAAGGATGTTGTTTCAGTGGCGCCTTTAAAGGACCATGTGAATTCTGTCTGGCTTAGGCAAAGGGACACGGCAGTTATACGAGCATGTGTATGCTCTTTTGTGCATCTGAGTCAGACTGTGTGTCAATATAAACTTTACAATATTCCGCTATGTCTATATATATATATATATATATATATATGTGTGTGTGTGTGTGTGTGTGTGTGTCTGTGGTTTGAATCCATGTCAGAGCCACGACTTTTATCCAATTTTTGTTGCGATGAAACTCTGTGAAAAGATAAGATGAAGATTATAATACAGTACAATGCGAATGGACGTGTGGCTGATCGCCTGGATTACTGTATGTTTTGTGAGCAGCCTTCAGCCTTTCCACACAGAGAATGTGAGGCCAGATTTAATCTCGCTAAGGCACTCTTTCATCTGTCAGAACAGACTGGAGCAGGTGAACCAACTCCTATCTACCATCAGTGTGAAATTCCTGCAACCCTAATTTGATCCTAAAACAGCAAACGCATGCCAGTTTGTGTACGCGTGTGTGACTGTGTGTTTGCGCATGCACGTTGCAAATGCAAGCAGCTGTTCGCTCATACGTTGACGAGAGACCTAAGTTTACATTCTTGCTGGATTTATCAAGACACACAATCCTGAAACCTTCCAGTAACGTAAAGCTTATTACAATTACACAGACAAAGTGTCACACATAAGCCTCAGTTGTTACTCGCCAGCATTGCTTACCGTATGCTTTCACGATAAGAGGAGGAAGGCGAGCTGTTTTAAAAGTGGTTTTAACTTCTCTTTTTAAAATCATTTGCCACTGGCGACTGGACCAACACCAAATAAAAGTTCATTTTCCCTTTCTGTTTCCTTCCTCTCCATTCATCCCAGCGCCTGATCGACTTGGCTGCCGGATCAAAGCCCGTCGTCCATCTCATGTCAAATGTTTTATTTCACTCTCCACTCTTTCACTTAAGTGATTTAGCTGCTGCCCTCGTGCACTGAACTGCATGGCTTTCAAGCAGACATTCTGGACTCACATTATACATCTTTCACTGACACTGTCACGCAAACCTGCAACAGCTTGGTCAAAGAAATACTCAAGCTTAGCCTGAAGATATTCAACACTGACTTTAGCCTCTTATAAGACGATTATGTATAGAAAGACAAGAAAATAACTTCTTCCCTGACACACTTATTTGTTGTTTATTCCCAATCTACTGACTCACTATCATGCAATTTGGATGGCCCATATATTATCACCATAACAGGAAAATATATGGCCAATCCAATTTGCATGAAGCTGGTTGTAAGAGCTAAATGCCAGCATGGATTCACTGTTGTTCTTTTTGTGACAAATGTCCATCTATTTTTGTTTTGGAGTCTCCCTGCCCCCTAGTGATCAGAAATCCTTTAATGCAACTACATGTTTCATATAAAAACCCTGGATTTATAAAAAAAATTACATTGTCAATGGCCCATGTATTTTATGCACACACACGTAAGAAAAATACTCTTAATATCACTGCAGAGCTCCTACAGTTATGCTTAATATTTTTCGTGTGTGTGTGTTTTTTCCATGCTGTTGCTGTAGTGTCTTTGTTGTATACTGTTCTGTCAGACTGTTGAAGTTGAGTGCTGTGAATTCATGGAGCTGCTGGCTCTCCTCTGGTGCTTTGGAAGGACTCTGTTTGTTTGTGTTGGCCATTATATAACTGCCCAGCTCTCACAAAACATGTCACTTGTACCCGCAAATTTACACAAACCCACAAACCAAACTAAACTGCATTTATTATTTCTAATCCACGACAAAACTAAAATTTATCATGCCTTCTTTTCTGTATTCAGGTACATTTTTACACATCTGTCTGTTGTAGCACTTATGTGTCCAGTTCACTGAGTGGTGTGGTGGGACATTATTCAGTTTTCCAGCAGAATCCTCCTGCACTTCATATACCGTCCTTCCCACATTCATAATGAAGAAAGCAGCCTAGCTCAGTATAGCAATAGCCTGTACTATTCGGCATTCGGTTCTTTGATGAAGGGCACCTTTGCTC